AGAGAATTTAGAGAGGAGGGTGCTTTTAAGGATGGGTGGATGGGTATTCATTTATTTTTAGTAAAAAAACAGATTTTTATTGCTTTTTTAGAGTTAATAAGAATGCCGAACACAGTTTCATAAATCTGTAGATTTTCATGTAAAAATCTATAAAACTGTAGTTTTTTTGGTCATATATAGTCGTGCTTAAAAATATTATCTCTGACTCCCATGTACAGTAAAAGGGATGAGGGGCCTATAGAGAAATGCCTGGTTTGGGGTCCGCGGCAGGAATTGTACAGTGCGGGTCCGGAACACGGTGTCGTACCGGAAAGCAAGGACATTACCAAAGACTTCCAGGACCTTGCAGGACAGCTCGGAGCCAGCCCGAGGTCCCCTCCACAAGCTGATGTCAGTCGAGAGAGAAACGGCCTGGACTGAAGCATGTCACAGCCGTTTAGGTCCATGAGTGCGTTATTACACTTCAAAGATAAAACCCTGTTTGTTATCTTTGGAAACTATCAGGGAACTGCCTCTTTATTTTGAAAATTGCTAAATTAAGGAAAAGTACCAGGCATCTTTCCTGCCTTTCTTATATGATTGGTACCTCAGGGGGAAATTTCTCTTTATAGGTCAAGAACGAATAGCAGACTATCACTTTGAAGTCTCTAAAGAACTGTTAGGTGTAGGCAGATGCACCCATGGCTACGGAATCACAGGAGTCAGTCAGACATCCTGTGCCGCCTGCTGGGAGCTCGGACACTCAGTGAGGTAGTCTTGCCACCCGACCCCTCAGTTAGAACTTGAGTCAGATCAACCTTTCGATCCAAGTGCCTGTGTATAAAACACAAGGGCCGCAATCGCATTGTAAGGTATAAAAAGCCCAACAGCTATATTGCTCACCTGAAACTAATATAGTATTGTATACCAACTCTACTTAAATTTTTTTAAGAGTTAAAAAAAGAATACAGGGGACAGAGGAATGTGTTAAATCGCACCAATGGGATGCAGTGAGCAGAATCCAGATTGTGGAACCTCTACAAGACAACCAGCCCAGTTCCTTCCACAGTGAAAACATTGCAAGGGAAATATTAGAAATGGAGACGAAACCTATAAAGAATAGGAACCTAAAGTGGCAAATGTGGAGAATAGAAAGAGAAGAAAGGGCTTAGCCAGAGCAGGACTTCTGCATCCTTAGAGTTCTGCCTGGGACACCCACCCTCAACGGATGTCCTGCTTCTGAGTTAATTTTTTCCTCGTAGGCAAATAAACATGTTTGTTTGTTTGTTTTCTAGTTGGGGAATGGCGGTCAATGTGTATTCTACCTCGATAACCCAGGAGACTATGAGCAGACATGACATCATCGCATGGGTCAATGACATCGTATCTTTAAACTACACGAAAGTGGAACAGCTCTGCTCAGGTAAGACCATCTTCTCAGTGTTTACCTAACTGTTCACTGTCGAGTGGAGTGTGATTTCATGAACCACAGCTGATATCTTCGGGGCAGGAGAAGCGTGTCAGCATTGACCTATCACGAAAGGGGAGAACTCGGGTATGACTAAGGGGTGTTGGAGGGACCGGCCCTCAAGCATCTGAGAGCATAAGCCATCCCGATGCAGCCTTTGGCTGGGCTCGCTGGAGCTCTGTGCTGCCTCCTACCTGGTCTTCGGCCTCTCCTCTCCCATCCCCTGCCCACCACCACCTTCTGGTGCTGCAGTACAGGTTGGGTCTTGCAGCTCTCGTCCCTACAAACCTTCAGGGCTTCGCGTTGTCCTCCCCTGGAGATAAGATTCAAACTCCCCCCGCAGCTGAGAAGGTCCTTTCTGTTCTGGCTGCAGCCCATCCCCTCGGTTTCACTGTGCGCATCTCTCCCCTGCGCCCCAGCCCCCCAAACACTTTGTTCCCTGAAGACTCTCTCCCTTCTGCATCCCAGAGCCCTTCCTCACGCCCTTTGCTGGGGCCTTTCCTCTTCCTGTCATGTTTGGTAAAATCCCATTCGCATTTTAAAGCCTGCTGGTCGTCGCTCCCCCTGGAGGGTCCCCTGAGACACGGTGCCTGCCTTTCCAGAATAAAACGCCCCGGGGTTTCTCACTGAACCTCAGATCGCCACCGGTCAGGTCTTCATTGTGCTGCTCTTGCCGTGCATCCTGGAGCCCCCTCACATTTTATTTTTAATTTGCTCCCCAAAACCCCACACAACTAGCACAGGTCCCTCTGTGATGAGCAGTCCCTTTGCTAATCGCACTTACCGCTTTGTATGGCAGTGAATGCGCATCATACCCACAGAGCGGGTGTGTGTACATGTGGATAAGGGGGAGGGGGCTGGTTATCAGAAAAAGAGGCACCGGACAGAAGAGGGCGAGGAAAAGAGTCCGAGAGGAAATTCCCAGTCACGGTTCTTAGGTTAAAAGAACCCATAGGAGCTTCCTGTGCGGTTCAGTGGGGAGGTTTTGCTAGCAAATGAGAGCAAATCAGAGGTGTGTTTTCCTTAGATAAATAAAATGTTATGAGTAATATACATAGTTTCTTTGCAGATCTTTCAAATTTCTCAAGCCAGATTCACCAAAATGTTAAGCAGCATTTGTGAAGGGTTCTGAAGCAAGATGTGTACGGTTACCTTAAAGTCGGCATTGGTGTGCCTTCTGCAACCATTCCCAGCCACAGTGCTGCCAGGTGTGGCTTGAGGAAACCTGTAGAAACACTTTTGATCTCTGCTAAGCAGAGGATTTCCATGGGGATGGCTCACTGGCTACCAGAGACTACAAGGCAGACAGTTCTGAGAATAGAGTTTAGATTGAGAGATACCTTTCTGCTCTGAAACGTGTTTTTGCTGGGGGGGGGAAAAAAGTTTATTTGTTTTAGGCAATAGTGTCTTTAAAGTCATACCTTCAAAGTGTAAAAGTTATGCATGTATGCCCTCCTGGGAGCTGCTTGAAAATGCAGATTCTTAAGCTCCTTGACCTTCTTCCTCGGTATCTCTGGGTGTGAAGCCCACAATCTGCATC